ACGGATTAAATCTCCGCTTTTGCGTTAATAGCGCGAAATATATCGCGCGTTAATTGTCCCAAATTGGCCGAAATGGCAAATATTTAAACCCCCATAACTTTACGAAAAATGATCACAGGTGAAATATTTTTTCAAATTTAAGCTCAGGACAACAATATTTTTTGAATGATATAAAAAATTCCGTCAAAAGTGGCTAGTTAAAAAGTCGAAATTTGTCTGAACAAAAAAAACCCACCCGATCACAAATAATCCAATACTTTCATATCGAAAGTCGGGACAAAAAGTGAGCTTATATTTCACCTGTGATTTTTTTAGTGAAGTTATTGGGGTTAAACGATTGCCATTTTGGCCAATTTTGACAATTAAAGCGCGATATATTTCGCGCTTTTAACGCGTAAGCGGAGATTTAATCCGTCTTAGAAAGCGTTTCAAATTGGTTGAAGGTAGCTTATTTGCCATAATTGATTTGTTTTTAGGAGTATCACTTTGTACTTTATATGGCGTGTGGGGGAATGATTTTCACAAAAAATCTCAAATTTTAATTTTTTTTTTCATTTTCTTTTATTAAGATTTTTTTTTTCATATTATTACCGCTCCATAGACCCTAAAAGGTAGTGGGAACGTTCAGGGCTTGATACGAGCAGTCTTTTTTCCGTTTTCAATTTAATGCTGTGAAATACTGAAAAATAAAAACGTCCGATTTTTTTTTCATGAACAATCGCTTTGTCACAAAGAATTGAAGTATCAAACACAAACTGAAACGCTTTGTTTATTTGAAAAATTGGGCGTTAATTATTCAATAGGGATAAAAGCATTGTAAAGGGCATCATTCGATCTGCGTCACAAAAATTTCATCAGAAAACAATCTTAGTGCGGCCAGCAAGCAAACAACTTCCATTTCATTATCGCCAGTTAGCAGACAATTTTGATTATACTCAAATATGATTGGCTGCGAAAGGACACACAGTGTAGTTTTGTAACATTCACTCAAAATTGGTTACATTGATTTTTATTTTATATCAGTAATGTTCAAGTTGAGTTGAGTTTTGCGCGGAAGGTAATATGGAATTTTCAGTTCCAAAAAAATTCTGCTATAATATGGAAATTCAATTTTTTTTCTGATTAAAATCAGTCTGTTTACTGAGTTATCTGCTGACTGTCATGTAGCCTCAATTTATATACATAGAAAAAGAGGGAAACTGAAACGGTATAAAGGAGTGAATAATTTAGACATACTATCACGAACACCTGCAGTTGGAAATATTCCAACAGTCCAACTGGATGCCAATTGTATTATGAAGACGCAGTTAGAGAGGCGACCACCTGGACAATCTTCAAACTAAAAACTGGCCGCCATTATTTCTGGTACTCCGCTAAGCCCCTCCTTTTTCATATTTAGGATTTTTTTAGCTGGTCTGTTTAGTGTTGTCTTAAAAAGCATCAATTCATTGTTATACGAACTTCAAAAGTCATTGCGGAGAAAAAAAAAACGATGTTAAAACATCCATGAACAGAAAAAAAATCAGGAACAAGTTTTAGAGAAGTCAGGATTAGTTCCAATATTAGGTCACGGTTGAAGGTAAACGCATGTTTTTGATTTAAGAATATCGAAAAAGGGATTCATTGATAGCCCGTACTGACAAGAAATGGATTGCAATCGATTTCATACAGATCATGCAGCAGAGACATAAACATCTCCATCTAAGTCGTTTTAAAATTGATTTATTTTGATAAAAACACGTAGCTTAAAAATCAATTACAATTGATTCTAGATCGATTTGAGTCCTTCCTTTTCCAATTTTTTTGTTTCATTTTTCTATGAATTTGAGTAACATTAAAATCAATTTTAAACAATTTTATTATATATCTACTTCATGCAGTTTAAATAGAGATTATATTCAGATTTTCTGGAATATTAAACGAGCGAAAAATAGTGGAAATAAAATTTTAAAATCTGCTTCCCAATTGACTTTTCCTTTTGATGTTTGGCCTGAAATTGAACTATGATTATAACAAATATCTAAACTTTCTGCACCAAAAATGTGATTTTTCTAATTTACTTTGTGTAACGATATATGCTATTTGCTTAACAAAATTGAGCCTAGAACACTGATAATAAAAAAAGCTTTAGAAAAAATTACTCTTTACTTCCCATTACCGCGGGAACCCTTAGGTTTGCAAATATGCAAGAAAAATTCCTAAAGAATTATCGTGTGCGGTGAAAAAACTCTCCGCGAGTGACTCTCGTGAAATAAAATCAGTTTTGTTGAGATTTTGATTGATTTAAATCCATTTTTAATGCAGTAAAAATTGCCAAATTGTTTTTTTTTCTGCCGTAAAAATCCATTTACTCCGTTCGGTTTGATGATCTAAATGGGTTATGGTAGATCGATTTCTGTACAGTAAAATATCTGCAAAAAAACGACTTAAATCGAGTTTAATCTCAAGTTTGTCTCTGCGGCAGGTAGAAATTTTTCATAAATTTGTCAATTGAATCAGTTCTTTATAGAGGTGGCATTTTGTTTTAGGTACAGTAAGGTGGGGGAGTGTTAAAGAAATCCAATTTTTGTCAGCTTTTTTGTGTACATTTTTTTGCATTACGCATCAATTTTTATGTCTCTCGTATCACCACAACGAAAAACTTGACGAATTACCTGATGAGTTCTTGTTAGGCAATAGGAATGAAATGTTTGTAAAATTACATTCAAAAGCGGGCCCTCTGCAACCATTCAAATTTGCTTTGATAGGTCAGTTTTAAATTTCTACCGGCCAGAGAAAAAATACATCAATCAGGATTTGTTGTGTTTCGCAGGGTTGTTCACTCCGTGGGGAAAGATCGCCGGGAATAAAAAGTGGCATCAATTTCAAGTTCTTAAGAATTTAAAAATTTTAATTTCAGTAGTCATGAGATGATAGTAACAAGTTTTGTTTGTTTTCAACCGATGAAAAGAATGAACAATTTTTTGGGAATGTTTTGCAGCAGTTGCACTGATGAGCAAATAAACTACATTTTTTCATTTCAACCAATGATATGAATATATGAAACAATTTCGAAGCCTTAACTTTTACCCATTTCTTGGTGATTATAGACGGTTCAAGTTAACATGTTGTCTATCACTCTTTCCTCACAGATAGACCAAAAACTAGGATCTTCCACTCCATAGCATTAAATTTGGACTAAATTTGCTAAGCGCTACGCGTAAAATGCTCGACTTTGATTGGCTGAAACTCCAATTTAGAATGGAGTTAAGTTCCACCAAACTGCTTTGGGATGTGAAGAAGGAGAGGATCGTGAGGAGGATGTGACTTTGGTCTCGAGTTATTTTTTGTAAATTTTATAGAAAATTAAAAAAAACTGATTTTGGAAAACCTTCCATCTCAAAAACTTTGGCTGTAATTGCATTTTTACTTTTTCCATTAAAACTAAAAATAGGAGCGTTTTTTCAGCCTAAGTTTTCTTGTTAGCAGCAGAATAAAATTTCCAATGATAAATTTGCTAGTTCGTAAGTGAACAACTAGTTTATAATCACTTTTGTTCAGTTATAGTTAAGTGAGGAGGCTGCCATGATCTTAAGCATTTCTTGAGTACAATATTTCCACGTTCTCATGTTGAATACTAGCATGATTGAACGCCATGAATACCTGTGTCACAAGGTTCGATTGGTTGGCCAAATGAAGCCTTTAACTCAATTTTTTAAATTTTGGCTGAATCTACCCGTAGTGACAATAAATGGATTGCAGTAAAATTTATACATATACTGCAGCAAATAAAAAAACCTATTCCATTTGAAATATAACTGTTTTAATAGGGTACACAATGAAGCTTGAAAAATCAGTTTCAAACAATTTCAAAATCAAAATAAATCCAGTTTTCGGCATTTTTTTGTTTTCAATTTCTTACGGATTTTACTAACAAATAAATCGATATAAATTAGTTTAAATCAACTTTATCCAATTTTTTCTTTTATTGTTTTATACAGATTATTTACAGAAATTATTCAGAGTTTCTCGAATATCAAACAATAGAGAAAAATGGGGAAACAATGTAACGTATGCTTTTCACAGGAATTTTCGTGTTGATGTTTGGCCAAGAAGAAACTATGAGTAAAACTAATACGCAAACTGTCAACACCACAAAATCTTTATTCTAAATAATCTGTCTCTGTAGCTGCTCTGATGGAAATTTTTTTAGTACAAACATTGAAATAAGAATATTTTTCAATTCTATGGAGATTTTGATGGGTTTTAATGATTTGCGAAAATCCGTTCAGTTTTTTTTTAATTTTTGTAAGCAAAAAATAGTTTTTTTTTAAATTGTAAAAGTCCGTTTCAATCTTTTCTAAGTTAATATACGGAAGTAAATGGGCTGCTGCAAATAAATTTTTATATGGTATACCATCTGTTTGAAAATCGATCAAAATCGATTTCAAACTCAAATTTTTCAGTGAGGGTAGTTTTTTCAAAACCATGAGAGTGTCGAACTGCTTTGTACAGACCATTCTCGAAATGTGTACTATCAAGTGTAGTATCATGTTGAAGCCCTATTGGTCGTAACTTGGATCATAAATTGCATCTTGGTTTCGATAAAGTTGAGTGAATAGGAATAAATTAAACGAACTTTTCGGAGAGGCTGACCTCTCCTCTTCAATATAATTATACCACAGGTTGATCATTGTTAATCAGTTTTTATATTTTCTTGTTACATTTTATTACCTCATCCAGTTACTGTTTTAAAACAATACAGTAAGTTAGGAAGACGAAATATAAAATAGCCTTGTTTTGCGATTTCAAAAAAAGTTTTTTGGTTTTTGATTTCTTAAAAATAAATTACTGTGGTCGGAACATTCTACTCAATGCTCCGCCTCTATCAAATCTACACCCCAAGCCTCGTCAAAATAGAATTTTTGCTATATTTTGGCAACCTTGGTTGTACAAATAACCGCAAACTTCTTCATAAAACAAGATACAAAAGTAAAAAAATTTAAAAAATTTTGACTTACCATCGGGTGTCGTGGATCTGAAACAACACAACTGAATTGTAGAAAACTTCACATCTTATAATCAAAACATTGTCTCAAAAATAAAAAATGTAACTTACATGAGAAGGAGACAGCTGCGAGAGAGAACAAGAGAGCAGCACTGCTGGCACATCTGAGACTGGACATCATTTTGGCTGAGAGATTGTGATATTAAAGAAGTTCCTGCAATCAAAAATTACAGAAGTGTCAGCCGGTAAAGCATTTTACTGTTGAGATGCGCTTTTTCTGAGCTAGTTTTCATTTATATAAATGGTCAAAAAAGTGATGCTAAATATTCAACTAGTACATTCAGAGAAAATCATAGAAATTTGGTTGATTGTTAAAATTTAACAACATTTTGAGCAGTGGTGGATTTAGGGGGGGGGGGGAGCGGGGGGTGGACCTACTCTTCAGGGATTCGACCCCCAGCCGACCCAAAGGGTCCCCCTTTGGTACTTTTTAAGAAATCCATTTTTGGCCGACCGACCGTAAAATTTTTCTAAAGGCGCCTTGGGCGCCGATATATACTAATTTGAGGGGGGAGCGCGCGCCAAAAAAACGCGATTTTTTGGTTTAATTTTTCCAAAAAGTCCTTAAAAACGCCTTTTTGGACTGTTTTTTCAAAATTTTCGATGTCGACCTAAAAAAAAAATGTCGACAAAGTTGACAAAGAGAAAATCCTAGATCCGCCCCCTGATTTTGTCGAAAAATGTCGACAAAGAGAAAATCCTAGATCCGCCCCTGATTTTGAGTTATGGCCTCCTAAAATAAATCACTATTATGCGGGTCCAAGTTTCCTTTTTTGCTGCAAAAACTTCCGGCTAGTTTCTTGTTGCTTTTTATCTAGTGTTTTTATGCTTTCACCATGAGCTGTATTGCAAAACTGCTCATTTAAAGCATGGCCAAAACGAAAAATTTCGTTCGTTTAATAAAAAATATAGCTATTTTTAACTTTAAGTGTCCACCTAGTTAAAAACTTGAATCGAACCAACTTTAATTTATATCAGTTTGAAGTTTAGATGTTTTGGCATTGTTTTTGTATTGATTTGGCACAAAGTCAAGGTTTCGACCGAAATGTTAAAATCAGTGGATTAAAATACAGTTTTTTGTTCACTAATGGATTGAATTTGTAAATCAAGTTTCGAAATTCTTAACTTAAGTTTGAAGTAGTGTGGGATCATAGAGCTGATATATCTATCTTATTGCGTTGTTTTTCCAAATGGTCATGCCTACCTTGTTGTAGCAGGAGAAAAAATAAAAATGGTTCAAGTTGAACTTTGGAAAGTTAAAAAGAAGATAAACGAGTGGTGAAATTAAGAAAGAAAATAAAATGAACGTGCTGGGCCAATTAATCCCAACGACTCGCTCTAATACACGACAACTACGCGTTTGATGGATTGGGTTTTAAAATAGACAAAGAAGAAATACTGATTAGAAAAGGTAATATCTTCAAATACGAGCAGAATTGGGATTTAGATAGTTTCCTTCGGGCTGAAGGCTGAAAATTGATAAATATAATTATTGCTCTTTTTGCCTTCTATTTCTTGAGCTCGAGAATAATAAAATCTTGTGGGCGTTTTGGGCGCGAGGGGGTATCTAATATTGAATACAGGAAACGGTCCCTGTTATTTTGTTGTTAGTTGACAAATAAAAAGTGAGGGAATTCGGAATGTTAACAAAATACCACGATCCGTATAGCTTGTCTTCGTAAAAATAAGAACTCTACTAAGAAGAAAAATGAATTATTTCGATTGCGCTTGTTATCAGGTATGTGGAACGTGAATTTATTTTTATATATTCTACAAGCGTTTCTTGCCCCTGCTGCTATACGTTGTACCATTAAATTTTTTCATTTGTTTCATTTTTTTTCTGTTACTTGCGTCATTGCATTTTTTTTCCTTGAAGTGAATCAAGCGAATCAGCGCCCACGGATTAGGCCAGATTACCATTAAAGGAAGTGAAAAGCAGAAACAGGGATTCTTCACTCAATTCCTCTTTTTTTTCTTGTTTCCCTTCATTTTTTAGCAATTGCGGGAAAGGAGAGAGGAAGCCATTTGATTAATACAAGCAAACGTGTTCAGCACCATATAGCGATCACTTCTGTGTTCTCTTCTTACCATATCTTGTATCACTGGTAAGAGCGCTGCCAAAAATACAAGAAATTGAGAGTACGTAACACAGCAGGGGATATCGGCAAAGTTGTCGACGGGTGATCTAGCCGACCAGCACAAAATCTTGTTTCCCCAAAAAGATCCGAAATGTTTTGTTTCCCGAAAAATAAAAATTGAATTTCTACGTATCAAAATCATATGACATTGCTCGAGCAACCAAGCTTACACAATTTCAATTAAAGTCTTAGGAACCGCTTTTTTATGACAATAAATAAAACTCTGGTCTTTTTGCAGTTCATATTAAACCCCATCTAACTAAATCAAAGTTAAACTGGTTCATGGTTCTATGTTCTAATTGAATCAAGCGAGAAAATTCTATTATAGAGAAAACTCTGTAGATTTAATAAGATTTCGATTTCGTTTCCTGCTTTTTCTGACCTCGGAATCAGTGATGATGACACGATGGCGTCAACGGAATGCGGGGGTCGGATTACCTTTCCCCGTTTCCTTTATTAACGTTAATGTGGTAAAAATACCTAAAGGGAGATTGATGAAAGGCCTCGATTCTTACGTAGTTACTTTTTAATGAACAATTTTAAATCAACAATGGCAGCTAATCAGACTATTGATTAAGTTTTCTGACAGTAAAGAATTATAGACAAATCGACAAATTAATGATATTTTCTAACAAATTATGCTCGTGCAAAAACTTATTTGAAAAATGATTGGCCTCTTTACAACGAATAAGTTTTTTTTCTTAGGTTGATTAAGTTTCTCGGATGGCGCTTTCATGAGGACAAACTTGGATCAAAATGTTGATTGAAAATGATTGAGATCAAATGGCTAACCATATTCCAACTGCCTAAAATCGAGCAGGTGATCAAATTCAATCAATTTTTTCAACAGCTTGATTTACTTGATTTTAATCAGTTCAAAATGCAACAAAATATCGCTTCCCTGAGTGTAACCAGAAAGAAACTTTGTTTCCATGTACGCAAAAGGTAAATATGAAATAAATTGGATTTTGGGCGGCTTCGGTGGTGAAATAATCAGATCTTGTAAGCGTAGTTGTTGGAAGCCTCCTAAACCAATATTATGCGTCCTGTTTTGCATCAATTGCTTATTTGGATGTGTTATAGCTTTCAAAAAATTTATTGGACAAAATTTTAAAGTCTTGAAACAATTTGACCTTCAATCTGAAACGAATTAGAACTAGTTCTCTGAAGTTTCGCATTTGCCTTCTTGCGGGCGTTTTATGAGTTCTTTTCAATTGACAAATTGCATGTCAGATTGCTGCTGAATAAAAGTTGTTTGAAAGTTGAGGGCTTGAAGTTATATTAAAAAATCTGACCTATAAAAAAGCGCAATCAATTTAGTTTGCTCTTTTGACAGTTCAAAAGCAATTTCAAAAAATCGGGTGACGTCCCTCAAGCTTGAAGGACCGAATGCTTGAAAATATTTGTAGCTTACTTTCAGCCAATCAGAATTGAGTAATCAAAATCTCGAAGTAAATTGCAAAAATCTCAAAGTAAGAAAATAAAACCAGGCCATTAGTTTTAATATTGACCGATTAGATAACAAACAGATGAGCTTTCAAGACTGAAAAACTCTTATGATTTTGAACTCAATAACCTTGATGATTATCTGAATAGTAATGCGGTTGTAACCCGCGATTTGTAATATTTTTGATGTTTTTCCACTGATTTAATACATTTTCTGTTAATATTGACTTCGATTTTGTGAGAAAGGCATTTAGCCAATAGAAACGCTTAGCGATTTTGATTGGTTGAAATTTTGCAAGCATTCGGTCGTTCAAGCATGAGAACCTTCCCCAAAAATTCGGTTCTCTTTTCATAATTCTTTTTCACGGTCTCAAGGTCAGAATTATTTCAGAAATTTAATATGTTGTCCGATAAGTTTTTTCAAAGCTAAATAGAGACTTGCAAAAAATTGGAGCAGACAAAATTACTTAAAAAGAACAAATGACCTATTTCAGAAAAATTTTGCATGCAAAAGTTTTTTACAGACAGATAGGATGTCTCAAGGTCACGTAAAATTTTGAATTTGCATGCAAAATTTGCTCCAAATTGGTAGATTACTCTTTTGAATTATTTCAGTCTGTTCCAAGTTTTTGCAACTAATTAAACCTCTGTGAAGTAGACTTACACCGATTTGCTGCATATGCAGAATTGCTTCCTAAGTTTGTCTGTCCAACAACGGCACTTAATTTGGCGTACTTGAGGTGGTTTTATAGTCGCTGATAAACAAAATTGGAAAAAGTTGGTAAGCCAAGGATACGGTAGACGTTTTTGTGACACAAAATCTGAAAAAGTGTTAGGGTTATTTTTTTTGAATTGACAGACGGAACACATCAATTTGCCAATGTTGTGAAGGTTTAAGACATAACAGTCGTTTGGACAATTTTTTTAAAGATTGATCAAATTGATTTTCCGAGCTTTGCCAAATCAGTAGAAAGACCCTGTTTTGGTCATAAGTTTGCGTCACAAGCAAGTTTTGGTCATATTTTTTTTGCGCGGGGGTCGATATCTTGAGTGGGGAGGGGGGTTTCGTCCGCCTTCCCCCTCTAAATCTGCTACTGTAAATCTCTTTTGTAAAAAACTAACTTTCCTTCAGCATACCTAAGAGCAGGTAAATGTTTTTCATGAATTATTCAAAATTCAAAACTAGTAAAACACTTTAAATGCATCTTCAAGGGACCAAATTTTGTGAAAGTAGTTTTGGTCATATTTTTTTTTGCGCGGGGGTCGATATCTTGAGTGGGGAGGGGGGTTTTGTCCGCCTTCCCCGTCTAAATCTGCTACTGTTAATCTCTTTTGTAAAAAACTAACTTTCCTTCAGCATACCTAAGAGCAGGTAAATGTTTTTCATGAATTATTCAAAATTCAAAACTAGCAAAACACTTTAAATGCATCTTCATGGGACCAAATTTTGTGAAAGTAGTTTTGGTCATATTTTTTTTTGCGCGGGGGTCGATATCTTGAGTGGGGAGGGGGGTTTCGTCCGCCTTCCCCCTCTAAATCTGCTACTGTTAATCTCTTTTGTAAAAAACTAACTTTCCTTCAGCATACCTAAGAGCAGGTAAATGTTTTTCATGAATTATTCAAAATTCAAAACTAGCAAAACACTTTAAATGCATCTTCAAGGGACCAAATTTTGTGAAAGTAGTTTTGGTCATATTTTTTTTTTGCGCGGGGGTCGATATCTTGAGTGGGGAGGGGGGTTTCGTCCGCCTTCCCCCTCTAAATCTGCTACTGTAAATCTTTTTTGTAAAATACTAACTTTCCTTCAGCATACCTAAGAGCAAGTAAATGTTTTTCATGAATTATTCAAAATTCAAAACTAGCAAAACACTTTAAATGCATCTTCAAGGGACCAAATTTTGTGAAAGTAGTTTTGGTCATATTTTTTTTTGCGCGGGGGTCGATATCTTGAGTGGGGAGGGGGGTTTCGTCCGCCTTCCCCCTCTAAATCTGCTACTGTAAATCTCTTTTGTAAAAAACTACTTTTCCTTCAGCATACCTAAATGTTTTTCATGAATTATTCAAAATTCAAAACTAGCAAAACACTTTATATGCATCTTCAAGGGACCAAATTTTGTGAAAGTAGTTTTGGTCATATTTTTTTTTGCGCGGGGGTCGATATCTTGAGTGGGGAGGGGGGTTTCGTCCGCCTTCCCCCTCTAAATCTGCTACTGTAAATCTCTTTTGTAAAAAACTAACTTTCCTTCAGCATACCTAAGAGCAGGTAAATGTTTTTCATGAATTATTCAAAATTCAAAACTAGCAAAACACTTTAAATGCATCTTCAAGGGACCAAATTTCGTGAAAGTAGTTTTGGTCATATTTTTTTTTGCGCGGGGGTCGATATCTTGAGTGGGGAGGGGGGTTTCGTCCGCCTTCCCCCTCTAAATCTGCTACTGTAAATCTCTTTTGTAAAAAACTAACTTTCCTTCAGCATACCTAAGAGCAGGTAAATGTTTTTCATGAATTATTCAAAATTCAAAACTAGCAAAACACTTTAAATGCATCTTCAAGGGACCAAATTTTGAGAAAGTAGTTTTGGTCATATTTTTTTTTGCGCGGGGGTCGATATCTTGAGTGGGGAGGGGGGTTTTGTCCGCCTTCCCCCTCTAAATCTGCTACTGTAAATCTCTTTTGTAAAAAAACTAACTTTCCTTCAGCATACCTAAGAGCAGGTAAATGTTTTTCATGAATTATTCAAAATTCAAAACTAGTAAAACACTTTAAATGCATCTTCAAGGGACCAAATTTTGTGAAAGTAGTTTTGGTCATATTTTTTTTTGCGCGGGGGTCGATATCTTGAGTGGGGAGGGGGGTTTCGTCCGCCTTCCCCCTCTAAATCTGCTACTGTAAATCTGTTTTGCAAAAAACTAACTTTCTTCAGCATACCTAAGAGCAAGTAAATGTTTTTCATGAATTATTCAAAATTCAAAACTAGCAAAACACTTTAAATGCATCTTCAAGGGACCAAATTTTGTGAAAGTAGTTTTGGTCATATTTTTTTTTGCGCGGGGGTCGATATCTTGAGTGGGGAGGGGGGTTTCGTCCGCCTTCCCCCTCTAAATCTGCTACCGTAAATCTCTTTTGTAAAAAACTAACTTTCCTTCAGCATACCTAAGAGCAGGTAAATGTTTTTCATGAATTATTCAAAATTCTAAACTAGCAAAACACTTTAAATGCATCTTCAAGGGAC